GGGAAGATGGCGGAGCTCGGTAAGAAGTATTGCGTGTACTGCCTGGCCGAGGTGAGTCCGCTGCGCTTCCGCTGCACCGAGTGCCAGGACATCGAGCTGTGCCCCGAGTGCTTCTCGGCCGGCGCCGAGATTGGCCACCACCGCCGCTACCACGGCTACCAGCTGGTGGACGGCGGGCGCTTCACGCTCTGGGGGCCCGAGGCCGAGGGCGGCTGGACCAGCCGCGAAGAGCAGCTGCTGCTGGACGCCATCGAGCAGTTCGGCTTCGGAAACTGGGTGAGCGGCGGCGCGGACGAGAGCCGGGCCGGGCCCTGCCTAGGGCACCCGCCCCGGGCAGACCGCCCGTGCCCTGGGACGCGTAGTAAGGTTCTTCTCGCTTAATAAAGTACATAAGCAGCACTTGACTAGCTCGTTCTATCCACGCCCCAGAGGGTCCCAGAAGCAGAGTGTGTGAACATTCCCAATTGACAGGCGGAGCCCACGCTCAGGTTCCGTGACGCCAGCAAAGCCAGGGTGAACTGGGCGGTCTGACAGCAGAGCCCTGCCCCTAACCTTGGGTGTGATAGGTGTGTCCCCAATGTAGGCTTTGCACGGGACCCGTGTATCACCTGAGTTCGTGGAGACACGCCGGTAGACTTCACCTGAAGCTGTGTGAGCACTGAGGAAAGAGTCGGTTTCGCCTGCAGCACAGTGGGGTGAAGGCTGGCCGGCTTCGCAAGCACTCTGTGGTTTGGCTGAGGGACTGGGACGCTTATTTTGTGCTCAGGACCTATTTGCTTTCAGTGGTTGTCTGCATGTGCCATGTGGTCTGCCAGTGCACACACAAGTTCTTTGTGGGTAGCGGTGCCTGGTTTATCTGAGTTTCCAGAACACCCCAGACATTGTATGGTGAGTGGTCAGTAAATAATGAACAAAGGAGCCTGGGCTGGGAGGCATTGGTCCTTGGTCTTGCTCTCTGTCTTTCAGAAGAGTTCTGCAGATGTCTCTGTGAGAGTGAGTGCTGAGAGCTGGACAGAATTCACTTGGGCTAGCAAGATTGTCTGCTCGGCTCTGTCCTTGACTGGGAAAATTGGTTGTTCTTCTTTAGGTGGTCTCTAAAGAGCTTTCTTCCATTCTGGAAGAGGAAGCTTTCATCCCTATGAGAAAGGAAAGATCTCTAACTGTATTCCCACTTGTAAACACCAAGGATAGGTAGACATCTTCAGGCATTCTTTATGTTTTTAAATTTTCTTATTACTTTTAGAAACAGGATCTCACTCTGTCACCTAGGCTGGAGTGCAATGCAGCCTATAACTGAGCTTGAGCTCAAATGATCCTCCTGCCTCAGCCTCTTGAGTAGCTGGGACCATAGGTACATGCCACCACAGCTGGCTAATTAAAAAAACATTTTTTTTTTTTTTTTTTTAGAAATGCGTCTCAATGCGTTGCCCAGGCAGGTCTCAAACTCTTGGCCTCAAATGATCCCATTTCCTCAGCCTGGAAAAATGCTACATCTTCAGCTATTCTAAGAAGCAGGGAAGTAAGGCCCAACCCAGTGCCCTAACCTTGCCCACCTCTTTCTTGCTTCTCCTGCTCCCACCTCTCCTGTAGAACCACCTCTCTTGTAGTACGTCTCTGCTTTTCCCCAAACCTGTGCTGCTTTTATGTCCTTTTGCTTTACTTCCCTAAAGTAAGCCAATCTCTAGGGACCATTCTGTATCCCCATTCTGAAGCCCTGGAATCTTTATCCTTTCAACTCCTTAGAGAAGATGCTGCTTTAGAAATCCTTATCTAATTGCCGCCCACATTGTGATCACCCTCCAAAAACTGCATCCTACTCTGTCTTTCCATGCTATTTATTGATGGAATAATAAGCATCTGTTTTGTGTAGATTCCACAGTGGTGAAAAGACTCTGGAAGAAAGAGAAGTGTCATGTTCACTTGGGCTTGGTCCTGGAGCTCTTCCCTTAGCTCCAGCCTTTCATGGCAGGCCACTTCCCCACATCCTCCTGATTTCATGGCCATCTCAGCCATCTCAGAATCTCAGACCACTTTACTAAGAGTGGCACCACTCTTAGCTGGCACCACTTTACAGGACTTGGGCTGCAGACAGCCAGCCAGCTTTGGTTCCTTCCTCCATGTCCAGCTTTTCAGCCCTCTCTTCAATGTCCAGAACTAACCACTCTTTGTGATCTTACTCTTGTCTTGACCACATCTGGGGCCTCCTAACTGGTCTCTCTGCTTCATTCTTACCCCACAGTCAATTTTCTTTTTTTTTTTT